TGTAGCTCAGGGTTAGTTACAATATATCCCTGGCCATACTCAAAGCCCTGTCCTTACCTCAGGAGGTTATCTAGTTTGGTGGATCTATATACTTGGGCTACATAGTGACATGACATGACTGATTTTAAAAAACACAGACTTGGGTCTGTTTCATGAAGCCTCTGATTTAATTGGTTCAGGCTATACAGTAAGCATCAGGAATTTTAATTCCCCTGGGGAAGCTAATGTGCAACCAAAGCTGAGAACTACACTCTATGTCATTGGGCAGATATTCAATGCTCCAAGTTTTACAAGTTTCACCTAAGGCAGATGTTCAATGCTCCCATTTTTAGAAGTTTCCCTAACTTATTATTTACCTATTTTATGGGTGAGTAGCTCAAAGGACACTCTGCAAGGGCTGGTTCCCTCCTATCAAGTCATTCCCTGGGATTGAACTCAGGTATTCAGGCTTGGCAGCAAGTGCCTTTACCTGATGAGCTATTTTGCCATCCCCAGAGCTCCATCCAATATGTAATAGTAGCACCAAACTCCAAACTCGTTTTTTTTGTTTTTGTTTTTGTTTTTGTTTTTTTTTTATGAGAAGTTCTTAAAAATTAGTGAACAGCCAAATTTTGGTGCAGGGGGATCTCTGAGAGTTCAAAGCCAGCCTGGTATGCACAGTGAATGCCAGGCTAGGATTGCATAGTGAGGCCCTGTCTTAAAAACAAAAACAAGCAAACAAACAAAAACAGTGATATGGACATATCTTTTTAAAATGTCACGTAAGCCGGGCGGTGGTGGCGCACGCCTTTAATCCCAGCACTCGGGAGGCAGAGGCAGGCAGATCTCTGTGAGTTCGAGGCCAGCCTGGGCTACCAAGTGAGTTCCAGGAAAGGCGCAAAGCTACACAGAGAAACCCTGTCTCAGAAAACCAAAAAAAAAAAAAATGTCACGCAAAATAATCCCTATTTAAATGTTGTGATTCTATTTACGCAAAATTAAATATTAAAAAAATCAGAATGGGATAGGGGGCAAAGATGACTAGGAAGGGAAGCCTGGAGGGAATTTCAGGGATAGACATGTTACTTATTTGGACTAAGGTACACAGACAGATACACTTATCAAAAAATGTCGCCGTAAATAAAGCGGTTACAAAGAGACGTGGTTAATTTGAATGTGGGTATGTATCATTATTTCTAATAACTCCAAAGCCCTGCTATGTTAAAAAGCACAACAAACCGGAGTTAAGAATCAGTGAGAAGGGAGAGCAAACAGCAGGGAGGGTCAAGCCTAAGCAATCACTAGCACTCTGGCAACCGAAAGCACGGTGCTTCTAAAATGACCGAGCGGGAGAGTCCCAGGGGGGAAAAAAACACCCAAGCTTTTTCCGGCACTCGCAAAACCGGCTGAGTGTCCTCACCGGAAGAGTCCGGAAGGAAACGTTGCCACCCGGGCAAAGAACCCGGTAGCAACTTGGTTCCCGCGCGGGTGCTGGGGCTGTGAGGCGCCGGGCGGTCGGCTGGTTTGTGGATCGAAGAAGGAGGACGCCGGGGCCCGCCGACCATCCGCTGCTACTATGATTCCGGTGTCGCTGGTGGTGGTGGTGGTGGGTGGTTGGACTGCCGTCTACCTGGCCGACTTGGTGTTGAAGGTGAGGGCCTCGGGCCTAAGGCCTTAGCCGGCAGAGTCCAGGGCTGGTGCGCGTGGTCCTGTGGTGTCCGAGGCCTTTTCTCCTCCCTTGCCAAGTTTCCTCCGGGGGGCTGGAACCCGCTCCGCCGGCGGTGTCTACGTGCACCCTCCCGCGTGGTGTATCCGTCCGGCGGAGTAAATAAAGCCGGGCAGGCTGCGGGAGGGGTGTGGCGGCCTGCGCCGCTGCCGCACTGCGGGCGCCGGGTCCCTGCAGCTTTGGGCTCCTTCCCGGGAGGAACCTGTGGTGTGGGCTTGGGAGGCAGGGCTCGAAGGAGGAAAGAAACTAAAACATCCGCTTAGGAAAAGGCATTGTTTTCCTTCTTTGTGCTAAGGTTACGACCGGAGAGACACTGCTGGTATTGGGATAAATCAAATTCAAATCGTGATTTAAATCACCATTGTCAAACTCGAAAGTGCACAAATGTATCCGAGGTTCCGGTTAAAATTTAGATTCTGATTCAGCAGATCTGGAAAGAAAGCTAAGATTCTGTATTTTCAACCAGTTCCTCTGTCCCGCCGACAGTGCTGACCCACAGACCATGCTTTAAAGTAGCATGCTTAAGTAGTAAGAATTTAGATAGCCACATTTTCTACTCAAATTACATCCCACACTCCCTTCTTCACAGTGACGACACACACCCAGGGCATACAGTGCGTTTTTTGAGTGTTGTGGGTGTTGGAATGGTAAGAAGAAATTTCAACAGTGCCTGAGCACGTGCTTTAGACACCTTCAGAATGGAATGGGTGTGGAGAATACGAACATAAAAATTCCCAAGGGTTTAAAAATTAAAATCATGAATAGTAAAACCTACATGTGTTCTTTTAAACAAAATGCCTCATGGCATTGTGTTTTAGATAACAATAAAATGAAATGGCCTTTGTGCTTTTTTGTCATATTTAAACTTTAAAGCCAGATCTAGGAAGTGTAGTCCTTAGGAGAACTAGGCTCTGCCAATTCCTAACCTTGGTGACCTTGGACAAATAACTACCTGTGCTCCATTTCTTGTCTTTAAATAGGAATAACAATAGGAAGGATCACCTAAAATTACGGAGAGTATTATATTAATGCATCTCTATGATATACTACATAAATCTGAGGTTAAACGACCAATAACACTTGGATATACTGGGCACTTGTTAGAAAGACAGAACTTCAGGTCTTACCACTAAGACCTGTACAATCAGAATCTGTAGCTTAACAGGACTCTCCACTGATTTCTCTGCACATTTGTTTGGAAATCACTGATGGATTTGGCTGTGTTTAGCAGCACAGGCCACAGTGATTTGGAGATTGGTTTCAAAAGAAAAAACCATGTGGTTTTTTCTTGTTTCATATGTAGAAAATTTTCCAAATAAAAGGAACTCATCAAACTTGTACAGTCAGCCCCAGGTCAAGCAAATGAGTGATAAGGATGTGGCTTTAATTTCTGAGGCATCCTCTATATGAAAGCATCAACCCCTGAGCTAATGGTACTGATCAGTGTCTGGGGTTAAGACCTTGCCTTAAAAAAAAGTGTATATGGCTGTTTTGTCTGTTTGTATGTACACTACATGCATTCAGTGCCCTTGGTGGCCAGAAGAGGTTGTAAGATCCCCTGAAACTAGAGTTACAGGTGGTTTTTAGCCACCATGTGGGTACTGGGATTTGAATCTGGGTCCTCTGGAAGAGCAGCCACTGCTTTATGGGTTAAGCTGTCTTTCCAGTGCCTGAGACCTTGCCTTTTAAAAACATTCACCTTCTCTGGGTTTGCTGTTCTACTGTTGATTTTTCTAGCTTTCCACAGTGGACTGTTGCTGCACAGGTATGCCAATCTCCTTGTCAAGTCCTGGAAAACAAGCAAACTTAAAATGCCATCAGAAGACAGTAGAGACAATTACAGATACTGGCATTCAGACTCAGGTCATTTCTTTATGATGGTAAAAGAGCTGAAATAGCCTTGTAGGACAAATGCATTTTTTATACAGATGACAGTAAGGTACTTCCAGTGCTTTCTGTAACTGCCTTGGTATTTATAGATCTACCTTAGTCAAGGACTTCAGCCTTTCTAAAAGATAAGACCCTTGTGACTGTTTATAAGCAGCTATCACTGTAACCCCTGGGGAAATTTAAGAGCTGCTACTGAGACGAAGAGGATAATGGGTAAATTTTGTACTTTCATTTGGTCAAAGTTGGTTTAACTTGAGGCTTACTTAGATGAAAATAGAAAATACCAATTCAAACTAAGCCGGCTCTTCTGTAGAATCCACTGGAAGTCTAAAAATGATCTCAAAAGATGTCTTTCCTTCGTGTGGCAATAAAATAAACCTGTGCTGTCCACTGTGGTAGTTATTAGCTATATGTGGCTACCTAGCATTTGAAAAGCTTGTCTGAATAGAGATGTGCTATGAGTATAATTTTGATACCACAGTTCAAAGAATACTAGAAACAAGTGTCTCAGTGTTCTTATGTTGATTATACATTAAAATGATATCTTGGTATTACAGATTACAAATACATAAAAATGAATCTCTCCTTTTTAAAATTTGGTGACTAGACAGTTTAAAATTATATGTGGCTTGCATTTTTGACTCACATATTTCTTACGGACTTCATGGTTGTAAGCAGAGGTCAGGATTTTTTTTCCCCCAGGGACACGGTTTCTCTGTGTAGCCCTGGATCTCCTGGAACTCGATCTATAGACCAGGCTGCCCTTGAACTCATGGAGATCTACCTACCTCTGCCTCCACAGTGCTGGGATCAAAGTTGTGTGTCACCACCACCTGGCAAGGTTGGGATATTTTTAAGGGCTGGAATAGTAAGTATCTTAAGCTTTATGGTTCATGGGATCTCTGTTACATATTCTTGGGTTTTGTTGTCTATTTAAAAGAGACAGGATTGAGACAGCATTTCTCTATGTGTGTCTGGCTGGCCTGGAACTCATGATGTCAACCATGCTGGCTGTGACCTTGCAGAGATACTTCTGCCTTTCCTTCTCCAGTGAAGTGATGGGGTTACAAGCACACACCACTGTGCTGGCTGCTTTTGATTGTTGGTTTAGTGGGATTTAGAATCACCATGGAAACAATTCCCTGAGTATAGCTGTGAGAGATTTTCTAGATTAGGATAATTGAGGGAAAAAACACACCCCAAATGTGAGAAGTAGTATTCGTATTGGATGGGGTCCTGGACTGGACAAAAAAGGAGAAAGCACTTAAGCACAAGCTTTCATCTCCCTCTGCCCCCCGACTGTGCATATAATGTGACCAATAAGCACCAACCTCCTCAGCCTTTAGCTGCCATAGCTTCTGCTCCATGATGGGCTCTACCCTGGAGCTGTGAGCCAAATTAAAGCCTTCCTAAAGCTGCCCTGTTGTCACAGTATCTAGACAAGTAACTAACATAACCCCCATCCCCAGCAGTTGTTTTTAAAAAGAAATAATCCCTTAAAAAATTAAAAACTATTCTTATATTGTAGGCTATAAGCCAGATTTTGCTCTTGGACTATATTTCCCTGGACCCTAACCCAGCTACTCAGTTAACCCAAGACCTTTAATACTTTGAAGAATAAATGTAAGGCTTTAAGATTATAAATATTTGAGGCGGGTATTGTGGCTCTGTTTGTGGAGCGCTTGTCTAGCATGCACAAAATCCTAGGTTTGCTCCCAATACTATGTAACCAGACATGTTGTCACATGCCTGTAATCTCAGCACTTGGGAGGGGGAGTCAAGAGGATCTGAAATTCAAGGTCATCCTTGGCTACATGGAAACTAGAGGCCAGCCTGGGTTATGTAAAACTATCTCAAAAAATACTATAAACCAGTGATTTCTCAACCTATGGTTTGAAACCCCTTTGGTGGGGGCAGTCAAATGGCTCTCTCACATGGGTCACTTAAGACCATCAGAAAACACAGATATTTACTTTATGATTCCTAACAGTAGCAACATGACAGTTTTGAAGTAGCAATGAAATAATGTTATGGTTGGGGGTCACCACCACCACATGAGGAACTGTGTTAAAGGGTCGCAGCATTAGGAAGGGTGAGGACCACTGTTGTTGAACCACTAACATCTTGATTTCTTATACAGTACTTATTTTCTTTATTTTTAACCTTTATTTATGTTATAAATCTGTCCTTCAAATTTGAGTGATGCTGAACTTTTCTTTCTCTTAGTCATCTGTGTATTTTAAACATTCTTATGAAGACTGGCTGGGAAAAAATGGATTGAGCATCTCTCCTTTTCATATAAGATGGCAAACTTCAGTTTTTAATCGTGCCTTTTACAGTTGGGGACGGCGGAAAGCAAGGATGCTTTACCAATGGTACTTTTTATCTTTAATTTTGGGGGTTATTAGTAATTTAATTAAATTATCATAAGAAATAGCTTAAATATATATATTTAAGCAATTGTATCATTGTGCTTTTTCATACATTAAAAATCATGGCACCTGACCATATTGGTGCAGACCTCTTATTCCAGGCTATCCTAAGTTAGATTTCAAGTTTGAGGCCAGTCTGAGCTGCATGAGGACCTTGTCTCAAACAAGCAAAAAGATAAAATAGAGGAGGCTGGAGAGTGGTTCAGCAGTTAAGAGCATTTGCTGTTCTTCCAGAGGACACAAATAAAGTTAAAATAAAATAAATAAGTAAATAAGACACTTAGGGAAATTTATGATTTTGTGTTTTCCATGGTCTTTGGGATACCTAATATCCTAACAATTTCTTTTTTTAAAGATGTATTTATTTTTTATTTTGTATGTTTGTTTTGCTGAATGTGTACCACCTGCATGCAGGACTCACAGGAGAACCCCTGGAACTGGAGTGGCAGACAGTTGTGAGTTGTCATGTGGTACTAGGAACTGAACCTGGGTGTTCTGCAAGAGCAGCCAGTGCTCTTAACCTCTTAAACCATATCACCAGCTCCCCATAAAAGGTTCTTAGTTAAGAGAAATTTGGGTTTGTGAATAGTGTACTTTAAATTACTTTTTGTTAAAAATAAAGCTCCCAGCAGGAATCCCAGCACTCAGAATACTGAGGCAGGAGAATTGAGAATTTGAGGGAAGCCTGGACAACATAGCAAATTCCAGGCCAGTCTGATGTCTCTCTGTCTCTCTCTCTCTCTCTCTCTCTCTCTCTCTCTCTCTCTCTCTCTCTCTCTCTCTTTGCTCCTCTCTCTATAGATAGATAGATATTGATGTGTGTATATATATATTACACAAATATACAAATATAAGTTCCAAATATGTTCAAGCTAAATGTAAATAATTAGATAATCAAAAAGTATACAGTAATAAAAATAGGCAAACCTAAAATTCAGTTCTCTGGAAAGACTAATAAAATTGATTAAGACTAGGCCATGAATGATTAAGAAAAAACAGTAACTAAAAATAATTGAGCCAGGCGGTGGTGGCGCACGCCTTTAATCCCAGCCAGCACTCAGGAGGCAGAGCCAGGCGGATCTCTGTGAGTTCGAGGCCAAGCTGGTCTACAGAGTGAGATCCAGGACAGGCACCAAAACAACACAGAGAAACTCTGTTTTTAAAAACCAAAATAATAATAATAGTTGAAAAAGATAATACTTCAAATTCTGTGAACAATAAAACAAAAATAATACTATTACAGTTCTACAACTTTAAATTTCACAACAGAACTTATGAAAAGAAACAGATCAGCCCCAACTATGAAAGTAATTTTAATGATTAAAACAGCAGAATAAAACTATTAAACTTGACTCCATTGATATTTAAACTACTTTATCACAAAGTGAAGCTAAAATAAGATGCAAACAGTAGAATGGATGAAAAAAGAATGCATGCCCCAATGTTAAGAACATTCCTAATTATATTAAAAACAATCAAAACAGTGCTATATAAATGATCAAATGGAGAGGAAACCCCCATCCCCTTTTTAAATTGGCAATAATATTCAGCTTTTTTGGGTGTCAGAGTATTTTAGTTTGTTAGAACTGTCTGTGAGTCAGTTAGTTTAGATGGAGAAAACAAGGCCAGCTATTGATCTTTTTACCCGTTGTTTAAAAGTTGTGAAACATGGCCAGTCAGTTACTTTGTTAGTGTATGCATTGTGAAGAATTGTACACTTACATGTTTGTTTTTGTCCTTGTTGCCAGGTTCAATTTTGGAATGGTGTTTGGCGTAATTGCCATGTTCAGCTCCTTTTTTCTTCTTGGAAAAACATTGATGCAGACTTTGGCACAGATGATGGCTGACTCTTCTTCTTCTTCCTCTCCTTCCTCTTCTTCCTCTTCCTCATCTTCCTCTTCTTCATCTTCCTCTTCCTCCTCTCTTCACAATGAACAGGTGTTGCAAGTTGTGGTAAGTTTATGCTTTTTTGCTTTAAACTGCTGAAAACACATAAAATTTTCTGGCTAGTATGGCTGCAATGTATAACATAAACATGAAAGTAAAACACGTCGTAATTTTTAAAATTACACACTTAACTACAAACCATTAGTACAAAATTAGCAGAAAGTGTCACAGTATTTGATGGCAGTGGCAATACCTGTAGCAGAGAATAAATTAACCACTAATAAGACAAGGCAGCCATTACAGGTACCTCTCAACTCAGGTTGTCTTCTTGAGATGTGATTGCAAGGAGTAGGCATTCTGACTTGAGATCTCTATAACATGGAAGTAAACTGCATCTTAATGCTGTGCAACATTCCCTGTCATTTTCATGGTTTTTCAGAATTTAATCAATAATCTTTAAATTAAAAGTATAAGGCTAGAGTTGAGGGTAAAGGTATAAGACATTTTTGAATGACCACTATCATTTCTTTGAAACTGGCTCTCACTCTGTTAGCTGGACTAGCCTAGAACTTGCTGTATGGCCTAAGCTGCCCTTGAACTCAATGGAGATCATCCTGCCTCAGCTTTCCAAGTGTTGAAATTTCAGATATGAGTCACTACACCTATGTTGTGAATTTTTTAAGAATTTTTAATTTTATTTTATGTGGCATTGCATTCCCTGGAACTGTAGTTACAGACAGTTGTGAGCTACTATGTAGATGCTAGGAACCAAATCTTGGTCTTCTTCAAAAGCAGCAAGTGCTCTTAACTGCTGATCCATCTTTCCAGTCTCTACCTTGTGATTTCTTAATATAAAAAAATAAATAATGTGCTAGGTTTTATTCCTTTGGTTGTAAGATATAGTAATTCTTATTTTAAAGCACAGGTGTAGGCTTATATCTTATCTTTTGGCAATACTGGGGTTTGAAAGTACAGCATCATGCATATAAACCAAGTGCTCTACTCCTGCGCTGAAGCCCCTGCTCTTATCTCTTACCTTTTGCTTTCTTCAGTTTGCAAGAGTACTTGATGTTGGCTCGCTTTTGCTTCATATTTTTTCAACTTTTATTTAAGTATTTCTAACTTACATTTTTATACTTGTAGTTTCCATTCCATGAGTTATAAATGCTATATTTAATCATGTTCTTGTTAATAGGACATTTAAGGATTAGGAACAGATTTTTTTTTTTTTTTTTTTTTTTTTTTTTTTTTTTTTTTTTTTTTGGTTTTTCGAGACAGGGTTTCTCTGCGTAGCTTTGCGCCTTTCCTGGAGCTCACTTGGTAGCCCAGGCTGGCCTCGAACTCACAGAGATCCGCCTGGCTCTGCAGATTTTTTTTAAAAAAAGAAGAAATTACCTCTCCTAAGCTGGGACAATGGGGAAAAACTTACATGTGATTTATAGAGAGTAGTACTCAGTCAGTAGAACATGAGACTCTTAATCCCAGGGTCATGGGTTCAAGCCCCACTTTGGATGCCAAATGTAACTAGAGGCTTTTCTCTGTCCCGCCTTGTCCCATAGCCATTTCCAAATAATCACTCAGGGGCTTATATTAATTATAAATGCTTGGCTGATGGCCCAGGCTTATTACTAGCTAGCTCTACATTTAAATTAACCCATTTCTATTAATCTATGTATCTCTACATGGCCTGTGACTTACTGGCTCTATCACATCTTGCTTCTTGGGCAGCTCACAGCATCTGCCCTGATTCTGCCCTTCTTCATCTCTGTCTTCGTTTGAATGTACTGCCTAACCTTATTCTGCTTCGCCATTGGCCAAGCAGCTTTATTTATCAACCAGTGAGAGTAACAGTAAAGGATGGTCACAACTCTTTCTTAGAAGTTGAGATGTTTTGTCAGGTGAAGCTGCATAAGACATGATGTATTTCTTCACTAAACATTTATGTGTGTGTCCTGCTTACTGGCTATGTACTGAGTCCCAGGTCCCTGGGGAACAAAACCCACTGCTCACACTCATGGAACTTTTAGTCTAGAAGGTGAGATGCTATGATTGTTATTTGATTGTACTTTTTTTTTTGAGATTGGGTTTCTCTGTGTAGCTTTGAAGCCTGTCATGGACCTCGCTTTGTAGACCAGGCTGGCCTCAAACTCACAGAAATCCACCTGCCTCTGCCTCCCAAGTGCTGGGATTAAAGGTGTGCGCCACCACTGCCCAGTTTGATTGGACATCATACAAGGTGCTATGGCAACAAAAAGAATGTAAGGTGTATCTGGCACTAGGAAAGAAGAGAGTAGAAGTGTGAGGACAGTCCACATAGCCTGAAAAAGGAAGATGGAACTCAAGAACTGAGCACCTCAGGAATAGAAGGATCACTGTAACATGGAACACAGGGAGAATTATCATAGTGATCATAAATAAGTAGGTAATAAGCAATGTTTTCCATATGAGATTTCTGTATGTGTTTGATTTTGTTCTCTCAGAACATGGCCAATAGGCAGGTGTTGTAGATGATTGGTTGATAAATAAAGTACTGATTGGCCAGTAGCCAGGCAGGAAGTATAAGCGGGACAAGGAGAGAGGCGAATTCTGGGAAGTAGGAGGCTGAGGCAGAGAGACCCTGCCAGCTGCCACAATGAGAAACAGATGTTCAGATACTGGTAAGCCACTAGCCGGTATCTGAACCATGGCAACTTATACATTAATAAAAATGGGTTAATTTAAGATATAAAAACAGTTAACAAAATGCCTACCATGGACATACAGTTTATAAGTAATATAAGTCTTTATGTATTTACTTGGTTGGGTCTGAGCGGTTGCGGGACTGGCGGGTAAGAAAAATTGTCCTGACCGTGGGCCAGACAAGACCAAAAAACTCTTAACAATAGGCAGGATACACTCAAGAAGTTTATTTTGTTCTCCCTGACTTACAGATGAGAAAACCAAAGCCCAGAGACATTACATCATTTGCCCATGGTGACAGGAAATAGTGTGTCCATCATCCATGATGATAAGAATCTATGCATATTATGTTGTACTCTTTTAAAAAGATAAATAAAAGCCAGGCCTATAATTCCAGCTACTTGGGAGGCTGAGGCAGGAGGATTGCAAGCTTGCTTAGCTATAAAGCAAGTTTAAGTCCAATGTGGGCCACTTAGTGAGAACCTCTCCCAACGTAAAAAGTAAAAGAAAGTGTTGGGAGGCATAACTCCATAATCACTTGCCTAGCATGCATTAAGCCCTGGGTTCAATTTGAGGAGTAAGACGGGGAAACAGGTGAGTAGATGGGTTGGGTCATTCATTCAAAGAAGTATATATAATTTTGGCCTGCCCCTATGAGTAATATGGTGAAAGTTTAAGTAAGCATATATAAGAGAACAGTATGAAAAGTAGGAGATAAGATGGGAGATATAGGTAGTATCCAGACTGAAAGACCTTTCTAGAAATTTTCTTTTACTTATAGATTGGTGTTCTGTGCAAAATGGGCCAAAGTTAGATCAAAGATGGGGAGACCATTTAAGAGTACAGATGGAATGATTCACGTTAGAAGTAATAAGGATCTAAACTAAATTTGTGGCAAAGAGAATGAAGGCCCCTGAGAGGCTACCCATGCAGAAGATGGTCCTACACCCATCCATATAAAAGGATTCAGTGGATTAAAAAAAAGAACAGATGAAGTTGGGAGGGAAAAGTGGTGATGGGATAAGGAAGGAGTTGGAGGCTTGACACTGGAGGGTGGACTTGATCAAAACACATTATCTGTATGTGTGAAATTTTCCAACAGTTTTCAAAGGGGAGAAAATGAGAATAAAGGCGGTGGTTTTTCATTACAATTCTCAGATAGAGATTAATTTAATGTGAAGCTGGAGGGTGCAGGGACAGTTTAAGGATGACTCTTGGCTATACAACTAGTTAGTGTTCAAAAAAGACAAGGGAAGGAAGCTCGTTTAGAGAAAATCTGATCATTAGCCTGTCTGCCTGCTAGAATGCAATGGCAATTGTCATGTAGAGAAGAAATTATTCTTCTCTTTGCTTCTCAGTTTAATCAGTATTCATAAAAATACCACGTGTGCTGTACTTTGGAACCGTTAAAAAACCAGAAGCCCAATAGTCTACCGTGCATATTTGTGTATAATTTAAAAAATGCCTTGTCTCTTGTTTTTGATATAGCCCTTGGAGCTTAAGGAACATACTTCTGGCTTCCTCTCTAATTCCCAGCAGTCTTGTTCAGTATTAATTCCCACAACCCTGGCACTGTGTGCTGTTGAAAGAGTGTTCTGCATTCAGTGTTCTGGTACATCTAATACTCTGTGCAATCATATTAGAGACAGATGGTCATCTTGTACTGTTGCCAGGCAATAAGACCTGCCATCTGTTGCTATAGTCAGTCACAAACTCAGACCTCTTACCTTGTCTTACTTATTAGTGTATCCAGAAGATAATGTAGAGAAGGAATAAAGAGCTGGTTGCATAAAATGAAATGAGTTATTTGAAATAAAGGCAAGCTGTGCTTTGGTGTGGGTTGTTTTGTGAGCTAGATGGCATGTATGAGAGCTAATCTTAAGGGAAAACATTTAAAGAGGCCTCAGAAACAGGGAAGCTACTAAGCCAAACAGATGAGTTACCCAGCATGGGAATGGAAAAATTGTGGAACACAAGGGACACTGATATTTGTGGGAGAAAAAAGTCATTCATTGAGGTCTGCATGAAGAGAATTCCACATAACAAGATAGCGCGCGCGCGCACACACACACACACACACACACACACATACACACCACACATTAAGAATGTCGATTATGAAAATGGGTTTCATAATCAGACCATGGGACCTTGGAATGAGTGGACTTTCAAAAATGACTGAACCACACTCTGCGAACCTCTCTTGGATCAAGGCTTAAAAAGTGAAACACATTTGCTGGGCAGCCCCTAAACAAAGTCTGATTGAGAGAGTGGTAAAACTCAGGGTCACAAAAATCCTGGAAGGAAAAGAAAGAATCAGGCTCTTCATTCATGTGAACATGGAACGAGGAAGACATAAAACTAACATCAGAACTATGGGATGATTT